GAAAACTGCGCGGAAGTCGCACGACTTGCGAGTTTTGGAAGGAGATCGTGACACGGCAAATGTTAAGTCTTTTTTTTTCTATTTTGGGATTTGATTGGCCATGCAGAGAAATGCAATTTACTTCAATTGAAAAAGACATGAAATAATTAACAACCTTTTTTCTCTTCTTCAAAAAGATTTTTGCTTTCTTAATTATTTTTCAAAAGATAGTTAGAAATAATGACAACAATGATATAAATGATAATAATACTAATCGCGTTGTTAATAAAGAAGATAAAGGTAAAACATCATTTTTTGTTAGAGCAGAAGATAATTCGTAATTACTAAAAATTTTATTAAATTCTTTGAATACGCATTGATAAAAATCATAGAGTGCAGACCACTGCCACCCTCCTATATATAAAAAATAAAACAGTATAAAATATATAATGATAATCCAAAACGTATCTTTTTGGTACGTAAGCCACAAGGATGCAGAAAAGAAGCCAACAAAAACATAAAGTGGGTTAAGATCAATAATGCCAGTTATTTCTGTCAAATTACATGACATTTTCCGACTTGTATAAGAATATTGTAGATGCTTTGAAAAATAAAGAATGGCGTTACCATCAGTTTACAAATCCCCCCTTTTTAATTTTGATGATGAAATGCATCAATCATGTAGAATGACAAGCGTGACGGTATGATATAATTTAATAACAAAGAATTTTTTACAGAAAAAAAAATGTAGGGTTGGTGGGTTGTTTGATATTGGTTGCTGTGATTGTGTGGCAGACCTGAACACCTGAAACAACTCTTAAGTCGATTAACTCGGTAAGCTTGCAAGCTGTAATAGATAAACTAAATTTATCAAGAAAAAAAAATAATCTGCAATGAATTAATTTATTATCTTTACTTGTATCAATGAAGGAGAAACGAAAGAAGGTGCTTATGAAATTTGGGATAGGATGGGCTTTGATTTCGATGAATTCTAATTTGTAAAATTAATTGTAATATTATGAAATATTTATGTGACGTAGTGTTGTCTCATGCCCCATTTGTAAATTCATTAATTCCCGTGTAACTTCAATGATTTCTTTTATCAATCCATTTTTTTAAAAAAAAACGCCTAATCAACGATATAAATATTTCAAAAGTTATTGAGATCTCTGCCAAATATTTCTTTAAGTAAGAGGTCAAGTATGAGAACATTAAGAGTAATAATTATTATTACCATCATTATATTTTTAATGCTGACATTAAAACCGTAAATTTTTAATTTACTCTAGTGATATTCAAAAAAATACATTTATTAAATAGCTAAAAAATTACATGTTATTATAAATATACTCTATATTCTTTGAAAATTGTTGAACAAAGCAAAATCCTTTCACGTAGAATGATTTGCGTCATTGAATGATGGAATTTGCAGTGAATTAATACCTCCTCTATTTTGATTCTCATAATTGTAGTTGTTGTTATTTTTATTATTATTATTGTTATTATTAATTTTCCTATACATAATGAATCCAATAACAACAATGAGAGCTGCTAAAACAAATAATCCACCACCAATAGCTCCAATGATAAGTCCGGTACTTTCGCCCCCATTGATATTATCATTAGGAAGAGGGGTATTAGGAAGAGGGGTATTAGAAAGAGGGGCATTAGAAAGGGGGGTATTAGAAAGAGTGGGAGTAGTGGGAGTAGTAGTAGTGACAGTAGTAGGAGCAGCAGGAGTAGCAGCAGGAGTAGAAGTAGGAGGGAAAGTAGAAGGAACAGTTCCATCACCACTGACATTAATTTCACACCGACCATCATTTTTACACCTTTCACTGACTTCATCAAATAAACGAAGTACACCAGGCTTTGTAAGTTTTAATGTAGCTTTTGGGTTGGCATCTGTTAATTCTGCAGCAACTAATTTGATAATTTAAATATTGTTAAAAAATAACCATGAAAAAATACATTGAAATAATCATACATACATGCACCAGGCTCTGTAGATTTTGTACAAGAAGACCCGTCCTTAACAGCTTCAACAATTCGTGCACCTCCGGTAGAGAATTCATTTTTTCTAAATATTATCTAATAAAAATAATTTAAAAATATTGAATTTGTATTTTTATTATGAGAAAAAATAAAACCTACATTATCTCCAACCCTTGCATCAATAACAGAAGGTGAAAAACCTCCTACAGTCTCCACAAAAGTAACAAGAACTTCAATGTCTAAAGCATTACTATGATTAGCTATAAAAAGGCAGGCGACAAAACAATAAACAATCTTGTTTTTTATTAACATGTTTAATTATTAATATGCGAAAAATTTTTTTTTTAATTTTTATAAAAATGGAATTCGTTTTAAAAATTGGACAATCAATAAAGCATTCGCTGTTTTAATATTTGTTTGAGTTACATCGCACTAAATAGAGAAATATTGAATGCTTGTCTGACAATCTATCGTCGGGGAAGGTAACTTGGAAAAAATTATTGGTTCTAGTAGTGATGGGAATTTTTAACCCTACACTTAATAACTCCAAGTTATTAATAGTTAAAATAACCAACCACTTATTAACTATTGCATTTTGAGTGAGAGTTATTAATCCAAAAGATCCATTTTGCCAATCAATCCCGATATATAGTAATAGTAATAGTAATGTGCGGAATGTTCTGTGCTAACCAAATTTAGTTAGCATGCACACCCAGTACTGAATTTTATGCACTGTCATTACTTATTAAACTAAATTAATTATTAACTTGTTTATCAAATTAATATTATTAAACATATATAGATTTAAATAATTTTTGCTACCAATAAAAGATCGCAAGTTTGTGTTTTTTTTAACACTTAATTAAGTAGCTACTTAAGTTTCCAAAATAATTTTTACGCCCATCACTAGGTTCTAGCTTTTAAAAATCACGTGTTTTTATACAGTTCATATAGAAATGAATGTTTTGATCTTAATATGGGCCAGCTGAAATTTACCGAAAAATTTCCAGGAAGAAATAGATTTTTCTGGTCACGAGAAAAAGCCCGTGCCACGGTGCAGATCATCTATAATCAATTAATTGCTTATACATAGTAAGCTTCAAAATAGTTAACCAATAAGTTTTATTGTTCATGACTCAAGCTTCAAAACTTATCGGCTAGTTTTTTCTTAAACTAAAAATTGGCGGAGCCTTAGCGTTTTGAAAATTCCAAATGTTGTTATAGTACAGTAAATTTCGTGTAGCAAAAATTTTTTTTCATAGAATAATCGATTTATGTTTGTAAAATAGATAATATAAAAAAGTTTAGCGAACAAAAAGAATTCATTACCAAATTTGGTAAAATATTATAACACGAAAACTATTATTGCATTTTTGAGCGGTGGTTTCAAATTTTTTAACTTTTGAGTATACATGATCTGCGCTGTAGAATTCAAAATTTCGGAAGAGCCGGAAAAACCAATATTAATATTAATATTAATATTAAATACTTTTTCGCCCTGTTTGGATTCCTTTTACTTAATTCGGAAAGATGATCATGTGGCCTTTATTTTTTGAAACACACACAACTAAGCATAATAATAATAAAATTCATATTGGTGATCATATATACTATAGTGCGGATCATCAAAAAAAAATTTTTGTTTCAATATTTTAATAATTTCTTTTGATGTAATATGTTCGTTAAACTTTTATTATTAATAAAAAAAAGAAAATAAATAATACAATAAATCAATGTATACACGAAATTATTCTCAGTATCAGTATATATAATAATAACAAAATAACAAAATTTGGAATTTTCAAAATACTATATAAGGCTCTGCTAATTTTTAGTTTAAGAAAAATCTAGCTGATAAGTTTTGAAATGATATAAAAATTTTGTTTTAGTATTTTGAAGCAATTAATTGATTATAGATGATCTGCACCGTAACAAGCAGGAATTTTTGTTACTGACCTATCTATGAAGTTTCCGGGTCCTGTAACAACTGGTCAGCTTCAAAATACTAAAACAAAAATTTTTATATCATTTTAAAAAAGTTAACCAACAAGTTTTATTGCTCATGACTTAAGCTTCAAAACTTATTGGCTCGTTTTTTCTTAAACTAAAAATTGGCAGAGCCTTATATAGTATTTTGAAAATTCCAGATTTTATTATACTCTTTAACATATATAAAAGAAGAAAAGGTTGCCGTGTTACGGTGCCTTATTATTATTAAATGTCGTAATTTTTGTGCAGATTTTTTATATATAGGATATTCCCTTTTTTTTTTGTATGTTTCCCTAATCTAACGACTTTACCCAATTTTGAAACGTTTGGTTGCACGGGAAATAATTCGTTTTAAAGAAGATTCGTGTAGATTTGTAACGGTAAATTCAGTTCAGTTACGGTACGAATCACCTAAACATCCTGTTTTTCAACTTTAGTAAATTGAATTTTTGAGGAAATATGAAAAGTACCAGAATCTGTGTTAATGGATGTAGATATTTTATTTTTAGTTGAAATAATCTTTGCAAAAGATTTTTCTTTATTAAAAAAAAAAGCTTTGTTGGAACAATTGAAATTTGTAAATAACTTTTGATGTTTGCATGAAGCTTATTCTTCTATAGCGATAGACTTGAAAAAAAATCCAATTAACCCATTGGATCTTTAATCTGTGATAAATAAATAAACACGAGGAAAAGATTATGATAAAAAGATCTTTTTTTTTGATTAAAAAAAAAAAAAGCTTTGTTGATTTTTCTAACAATCTAAATTCGTAAATAACTTTTGATTCACA